CCAATCCCCCGCTTCAATTTGAACTTGGAGACACGATCGGTGCTAGTGCTACTCCACCGATCGGTTCTATTTCTTTTTAAAAAAATTGAAAGATTAGAAATGTGGGAATTATGAGGGAAAAATTGAGGCCCTGGAAAATATGCTCTAGCGATAGGAGTTGTTTTTTCAGCTTTAAATGGGCCCCGGATTATAAGTTGGTGACAGTTCAAAGTTAGAAGAAATTGGATTCTCTGGCACAACTAGTAATACTCGTGCCTCACACAATGTAGGACATTCTTCTCCTTCTTTAGTTTTAATTCATCTGCAAAAGAATGATGAATAGAATGTATAGAAATGTAGTTAACTGGATTAGCCCAATCTCTCAATCTCCTCCCCTAAGATCAGCCATTGAAACACTCTGCAATGGCAGAAAGCTTACGGAAGCTTTATTACTTGCTTTTCACAACCCCATTGAAGCAGACTATACTATTTACTCAAAAATTATTCAGCTTTGCATTGACCTAAAGGCTCATAAACAGGGCCGTTTGGTTCACTCCCATCTTATAACTACCGGGTTTCCTTCAAATGTTCATTTGGGAACCAAGTTGATCATTTTCTATACAATGTCCTATGACATGGCGTCTGCCTGCAATTTATTTGATAAATTGCCTAAAAGGAATGTGGTTTCATGGACTGCGCTTTTATCTGGGTACTCTCGGAATGGGTATTCACAAGAAGCCCTTAATGTGTTTGTTGCTATGCGTAGGGAAGGGGTGAGGGCAAATCAATTTACTTATGGAAGTGTTTTAAGGGCGTGCACTAGTATATCATGTTTGAATTTAGGAAAGCAAATACAAGGGTGCATTCAGAAGAGCAGGTTTTTGGATAATTTGTGTGTACAGAGTGCGTTGGTTGATTTTCATTCTAAGTGTGGGGAAATGGAGAATTCTTTTTGTGTTTTCGAGTCAATGGCAGAGAGGGATTTGGTTTCTTGGAATGTCATGATTTCTGGATATGCTTTTCGTGGTTTTAGCATTGATGCATTTCTGTTGTTCCGTTGGATGCTCAGACAAGGTATACTCCCTGATTGCTTCACGTTTGGAAGCATTCTCAAAGCATCTATAGGAGGTGGCAAGTGTAGTGGGCTAGCGAAAGTCAGTATGATACATGGATGTATCATTCGACTTGGTTATGGGTTGTACAGTATTATAAGTGGAGCATTAGTTGATGCCTATGTAAAATGTGGAAACCTGGCCCATGCAAATTATCTATACAAGAAGTTGCAGAACAAAGATAGGATTTCATGCACTGCGTTAATTACTGGCTATGCACGTGAAGGTAAAAATAGCAGTGAGTGCCTTGAACTTTTTTGTGAATTACGTCGGATGCATAAGGAAATTGATAGCATTTTGTTATGCTCTATGATCAACATATGTGCCAATACAGCGTCCCTGTCTTTGGGAAGACAGCTACATGCTATTGCGATTAAATACCAGAGCACTCATGATGTGGCCATGGGTAATGCTTTGGTTGACATGTATGCAAAAACAGGGGAAATTGATGATGCCAACAATGTTTTTCATCACATGACAGAGAAAAATATAATATCATGGACGTCAATGATCTCTGCTAATGGTGCACATGGTCGAGGAGTTGATGCAGTTTCATATTTTAAGAAGATGGAATGTGAAGGTTTTGAGCCAAATGATATAACGTTCTTGTCTCTCCTGTTTGCTTGTAGTCATAATGGGTTGACTGCTGAAGGATGGGAATGTTTCAGGAAGATGGTCAGAAAATATAAAATTATTCCAAGAGATGAGCATTACTCTTGCCTTGTGGACCTTTTTGCACGCAGTGGCTTTTTAAATGAATCCTACGATTTGATTTGCAGAATGAATATAAAGCCTAGTGCCTCTCTTTGGGGTTCAGTTCTTGGGGCATGTAGGGTATATGGCAATATGTACCTTGGAGAGGTAGCAGCCAGGCATTTATGCAATTTTGAACCTATGAATGCTGTTAGCTATGTGGTTCTAGCAAGTATGTATTCTGCAGCTGGCTTATGGGATAATGCTCGGGATGCTCGAGATGTAGTTCAAACTAGAAGGTTAACAAAAGATCCTGGTTACAGCCTTTTTCAATCCGAAAATGATTTGTTAGCACTTCCTCCTACTGGCTGATATGTGAAAATGATCCAGATCTGTCTTATAATGTTTCATACTACCCGGATTTTTCAAAAGTGAGTTTTGATAGTTGTAGTTTCAGTAAGCAGTGATGATGCAATGAAGCTTTATGGATCTCACTAGGTGTAAAGCTTCTCTGATTATTACTGGACCTGTTTAACTGATTCCCCGCACATCGTCAGCATTTGATCTAAGTCCTTATTCAAGCTTCATGCCAATGAAAGGGGGAGATTTCTGGTGGAAAGACATTTCCTGATGGACAGGTTAGTTAACTGAGTTAATTTCTTAAATAGAAGAAAATGGACCTTCCTTACTAAAAGAAATAAAAATGCTTCTTCTACTTCCCACTGTCAGTAGGTCTATTTGGAACCAAAGCTACTTTATCTACTATGTTTATATACGTCTGATTGAATGTTGTATTTAGCCATTTCTAGATGTTCAAATCTATAGATCTCTGACACGTATGAATACTGGAAGCTAATTATGGGATAAAAAAAGCATCTAGAGTATAAGTTGTGTTAATAGCTACCTATTATTTCATGTATAATTGTAATGTACTGCAAAGTTTGGACAAAGGCTGAGCATATATGTGTTCTGTGCTGTCCTAAATCCAGAATAAGGGTTGAGTATTATGAAATTGATCATACATTCTGAAAGTATGACAAGAAACAAGCATGTTAAATTGACCGTTCTAAGAAATGAGTATTGCTCCCCACCTACCCCCCACCCCCAAACCCTCTTACTCTCTCTTCCTTTTATTTGCGAGAGTAGTTGTGACTTGTGATCAGAAAATACAAGTTCCCCCGGACTGTTGAATTGCTTTATTATTTTAGCAGGTAATGATTGACTGAAATATATTCTGTTGGTACAGCTATGAGAAGAACATGAAGAGGTACTCACGTATATTTGTGACATTGACGGGAGAACATGAATCTCTTCAGCTATTTAGGGTATGGAGTAAATGGTAAAGCCTTGGCTCTTTCCTGATCCTTAGTGAGTGGTGCATATTTTCTTTGGCCTTTTTATTTCGTAATGCCTGTATGTGATGTCGATCATCCATTTTTCCATTCCAGGTCGTGGAAGGCAAACTACTTGCTGGTTGTGTGCGGTATGAGTGGTACCATCCACGTAAAGCTTCGTGAAAATGGAAGTGGATAGAAATGTTCCTTTTGTACCTCACTCTCATCTACAACGGGTGGGTAGAAATAATCCTTTGCGCTCCATGTAGACGAAGACTAACTACTTATAATGAACTTTTGTTATAAGTGATAAGAACAATACTAGTGATTTGAAACCCTGGAATATCTGTCCTAACTCTGGAAGGAAAGCCTAGAAACTATGCGGCTGTACCTATCTGCTCCAATAGCTTCTTCTTAAAGTAATGACTGCTGCTATAGGTTGTCGATCTGTAGCTGTTATATGCTCCTATAAGTAGATTTTTTCTTTTCTTGCCAAAGTAGACACTGCTCCTATAAGTTGTGGATTTTGTAGCTGTCATATGAAATTTGAATGCACCGAAAATGGATTGATGGTCAGCAAACTGGTGCATGCTTAAGACACTTAATGGGTGCTACTAATAAGTCACACTGGAAGCAAACGGTAGGCAAGTAAAAGTGCATTACTCACACCACAGAGAAAAGCACGGTAACAATGTCTATGGAACACCTCGCTTACAAAACTCTTCTTCTACATGATATTATTAATACAATGCTTCTTTTTCTTGTATTTATTGCTTCACCTGGCATTCGATTGATTGCTGCTATAATATATTTTGTTTATTTTCTATTTGCATTTGTTGGTTAAGTTTAGAGGTTAATTAAAAAGAGAGAAAGGTAGGACCTCTGTTTTGTTTGCGACTCTGCGCTTATGGAAAATACCCTGATTTTATTAAAAAGAAAACACTAGACTTTAGAATACCACTTGGATTTCAAGAACCTGTTCTGTTAATTTATCAAGCCTCTGTCCAACAGTTATTTCTACTGTTAAAATGTTGTAAAATCTAGAATCTTAGTGCCTTTAAAATTTTGAATCACTCTGTCCTACTATTGTTCTAAAATCTAATAATTAATCTGACCTTATACTGTCCAGTCCCTTTGCATTGAAATAATGTTTTAGGGTTGTGGCTTTCTTCTATTTGATTGCTTTATATTCTGATTTATTCTTCAGATGTTCTATCATGCCAGTTGGAATGGCTTTCTAAGTTGTTTAACGTCATTTAGAACGAAGAAGATGCCTGAAGAGTGAAGGTGGAGTACGATGATTCCGTTGTACAAGAACAAGGGGATATCCAAAACTGCAACAACTATAGGGGTATCAAGTTGTTAAGCCATACGATGGAAGTGTGGGAGAGGGTGATCGAAAGGAGGATGAGGAGGAGTGTGTCCATTTCCGAGAACCAGTTTGGTTTCATGCCGGGACGGTCGACTACTGAAGTCATTCACATTGTGAGAAGATTGGTGGAGCAGTATAGGGCGATGAAGAAGGACTTGCATATGGTATTCATTGACCTAGTGAAAGCCTATGACAAAATCCCGAGAGAGGTTCTATGGAGATGTTTGGAGGCTAAAGGAGTGCCTCTAACGTATATTAGAGTGATCCAGGACATGTATGATGGAGCTAAGACACGGGTTAGGACAGCAGGAGGAGACTCTGAATACTTCCCGGTTGAGATGGGGTTGCATCAGGGATCAGCACTTAGCCCATTTTTGTTTTCCTTGGCAATGGATGCATTGACGTGACACATTCAAGGGGAGGTGCCTTGGTGCTTGTTATTTGCGAATGACATAGTTCTGATTGATGAGACGCAAAAATGAGAGGCTGGAGATCTGGAGACATACTCTTGAGTCTAAGGGTTTCAAGTTGAGCAGGACCAAGACAGAAAACTTGGAGTGCAAGTTAAGCGGTGTTACCCAGGAAGCGGACGGGGATGTGAGGCTTGATACGCAAGTCATTCCCAGGAGAGAGTTTCAAGTATCTGGAGTCTATAATTCAAAAGGATGGGGAGATTGATGAGGATGTCACACGTCGTATTGGAGCAGGGTGGATGAAGTGGAGGCTCGCTTCCGGTGTCTTGTGCGATAAGAATGTGCTGTTGAGACTTAAGGGTAAGTTTTACAAGGTAGTGGTTAGATCGACTATGTTGTATGGGGCAGAGTGTTGGCCAGTGAAGAACTCCCATGTCCAACAAATGAAAGTAGCTGAAATGAGGATGTTGAAATGGATATGTGGGCATACTAGGTTGGATAGAATTAGGAATGAAGTTATTCGAGACAAGGTGGGAGTGGCCCCTGTGGAGGAAAAGATGCGTGAGGCGAGGCTGAGATGGTTCGGGCATGTTAAAAGGAGAAGCACAGATGCCCCAATCAGGAGGTGTGAAAGGTTGACCTTGGAGGGTAAGAGGAGGGGTAGAGGTAGGCCAAAGAAGTCTTGGGGAGAGGTGATCAGGCGGGACATGGCGCAGCTTGAGCTAACCGAGGACATGACCCTGGATAGAAGGGTGTGGATGTTGAAGATTAGGGTAGAAGGTTAGTAGGTAGTAGTGCGTTTCTCTGTCTTCACTAGTTCGATAGTATTAGTGTTAGTAGGGTACCCCTTTTATCCTTAGTTTGCTATTATCGCATATCTTGTTCTGTTATTAATTGCCATCGGTACTTCCTTAGTTTGCTAGCAGTACTTCTTTCATATTCTTTATTGCTATCTTGGATTTAATTTTCTAAATATATTATCTTGCTATTACTTGCTATCGGTACCTCTTTCATATTTTCTATTGCTATCTTCATTTAGTTTTCTAAATATATTGTCTTGCTCTTTCTTGCTATCAGGGCTTCTTCCATCTTCTTTAGGCGAGGGTCTATCTGAAACAGTCTCTCTGTCCTTTCAGGGTAGGGGTAAGGCTGCGTACATCCTACCCTCCCCAAACCCCACTTGTGGAATTACACTAGGTTGTTGCTCTATCATGCCAGTGTTCTTTCTATCCAATGCACTTACCAATTTGGATTGAAATAATTTTTTATTCATCTTGTCCAGTGGCATTCTTTTCCTTTAATTTCTTCTTTACTTGGTCCTGTTGCTTATACTTCGCTCAAAGTCGTCATATGATCTGGATGCAGATATTTGATCAGAGTTTTTCAGAGGTTTTGATGGGATAGAGAATGACTATGTACATTTGAGGAAATAGTAGTTTCTTTTTGGTGCACCCCATGAGGTTCCAGTGTGTATAGAAGGTTGATGTCGTTCCTAGAGAATCATATAATGTTGTAAATTCTCTACTTTTTTGATGTACTGCTGGTACATGGGAAACTGCAGTTCCTTTTCGTAGAGAAACCAGCAATTCCTTTTGGTCTGCGAAGTCGAGATTTCAACTGATGTTTCTCTTTTTGTGTAATACAATGTGCTGTTGAAGTTTGCCTTCTGAAGCAGGTTTACTTCACTACTAATTCTTATGGATTCCTCGTGAACTGAACGTTAGTCCCTAATATGTTTGCGTTTCCTGTTTCTATTGCAGGTCTTAATATATCTCGGGCACATCAATTGTACTTGTCAAATCTGTTCTGTTTCTATCCTGAGAAGTTTTAGAAAAGTGATACATGCAGTATGAATAGGTGAAGAAACCATGGACTTACCAATTATCAGCTGGAAAAGGAAAAGCTGTTTGTTCTGGGTAGATATAGATTTGATTCATTGAAATCTTGGAAGTATTGAAATACTCTGGGGGAGTTGCTGAAAAAGTTGAAGCTCTGAATAAATAAAAGCCTCTTGATTTTGAATTTTCATATACTGTGATAGTTCGTTCCGTATCTTTTCGGATCTCACCTTTCTTTTTCTTTTCGTTTATATTTTGTTGTTTCACTTTGGAGGAAAGAGCACGTAGTTGCGATGTTGTTCAGAGAAAAATGCATGGTGGAGCTCTTGACATGAGTTTATGTTTCCGCTGCTGATCTTTTAAAAATCATGGGTTAGACTTGGTTGTTTAATTCAGGTATACAGCTAAATCTCTGTGCAACAAGTTACCGTGTCAATTCGTATCTCGTACTTTTATTCTGGAGAACAGATTTTGAGCGTCTTTTAGTGTTAAGCATCTCATAAATACAGTATAATCAGTTAAATGAAGATATAATTTCTCATTTTAAGGTTAACATGCAGTTGTCACATCCAGGGCATCCGTTGAGAATGATTTTGTTCATGTGCCTGAGTTCTTTGATTTCAAAAGTATAAGTCGATCACGTCTATTGACACAACACATGGGGCTATCTGTTCATATATTCGGTTTGAAAGTTCTTAACAATGAAAAGAAAAACAGTATTAAAACAAAATGTAAATACTCCCTTCTCCTTACTTTCCTGTATATGTTGAGTCTTAAGACTCTCCTTTCAAGGAAACGTGACATTAGTTTGTAACTGTTTAACCAAAAAATAAAATTTCACTTAAAACTAGAAATTAAGAGAAAAAATCGGGTTACTGATAATCAGGAGACGAAAAGAATAAAGAATTTAGGAGAATAATAAAGCAGTAAATAAGTTTGTATTTCAATGTAAACTCAATGATATTTCGTGTCCTACAGATGTTGTGACTTTCTCCTTTTATAGTTAATTCTAAGAGAAAGTGTAATGCCTTTGTCTTAATGAGGCAATTATGAGCAATAAATGACATTAAAAGAAACGTTACTCAATCATTCTTGTTAAATACAAATTCTCTAACGTATTTGGCATTTAATGTTGAATTTGGACTCTTTTACGCTATCAGATTCATGTCTTCAATTCCTTCTGATCTTCGAGCTTTAAATGACTCGAACAGGTACGAGTCTCGTTTCATCTGAATAATAGCTCGTGCCTTTAAATATCTTCTCTCCCGCATCTGTTATTGCTCGTGCCTTCTAACTGATTACCATGCTTTGACTATTTGACCGGTCCACGTGTCATGACACGTCATCTTCAATATTTAAATTCATTTTTTTTTTCCAATACAGTAACGACACAAAAAAGAATGGTGGAGAAATAGTATGAGATTGACAGTAATTCCCGAATGCTCTATTCTAAGAAGCGTGATAAATATATAAAAGAGAAACAAACAAGCATCCAGCTCTTGTAGCTCAGTTGGTTAGAGCACCCGTTTAGTAAGCGGGAGGTCTTGAGTTCAACTCTCAACAAGAGCATTTTATTCCATCATTCTCCAGTTCTTTTAGCTCGTTATTGTAGGATTATTATTTAACGGGAAACTTTACTTAAAACCTAAATATTTTAAACTGTCCGTCTGTCCCTAAGGCCTTAAAGCACAATACAGATTCTGACAAGAATTTGTTAGACACTATTGCATATCTGATGTTTCTAACAACATAAGAGCTTGTTGCAAATTGAAGTTTGAGATTACTCTTTTCCTATGATAGGGCCAAAGAGTTCTCTTTCTGGATGTGATATACATTTTCTTAGCGATGGACAAGAAATACGTTTCCTGAATTCATGAAGTTTTCGAATATGGAAGAAGATTTCATGAACGAGATCAGTGGAATGGTTTTTCTCTTCAATGATTCCAGAGTAGTAAATAGAAAGTTGATCGTTTTGAATGTTTTCTCTCGTTTCCTCTTTATATCTAATGGAGATGCTTTCTACTTCCAATAATTCCAAAGTGGTGAAAATACAACAACAATTGCATACTAATTGCCTAATTGGTCAGTAGAGGTAAGGAGAATGTTCTATTAGTGTTTTCAGTCTGGATTCGATGAACAAATTCATATTTCATACTGAAGTCTGACTTCGAATCATCTTCCTTGTGGACAAGATGGAATTAGCTAGGTGGTTTCGCCATTTGATCGGCACAAAGGAAGCTCCAATTTAAGGGTGATTTTAATTCATACTTAAAAGTTGAGCGGTAAATTTAGTTTTATTTTCTGAAAGTATAAGACACATGTAGTCCACACATTTCATGTCGAAATTATGTTACTGGCGAGGACATTATGAGACAATTTGCTAGTGTATGAATGATATAGAAATGTAACTGAGGGACAAAATTGAACAATTTTGAATAATACATCGATAAATTTGGGCATTTTTCTTATAATTATTTCTAGTGGCTGCACGATATTAACGACAGAGGCGGATATAGAGTATGCCCGCCGGATTCATATGAACTCAGCACTTTCACCGCGAAGAATAAATTTATGTATAAAAATTCATTAAAACTGCAACAAATAGTAGATTCGAACCCATAACTTTAAAAATACAATGATTCAATAGTAAAAATCTTAAAAGTTGAACCCACAAAATCTCAAGCCTGGAACCCATAATAAATAAAGTGAACAATTTACCATGATATCCATCTTAATTGATGCATATTTTTAATGGATTTGAGAAAATAATTTGAAATGAGTAATTAATATTGTGGGTATGACGGGAAAAACGAAATTATCGACGGGAAAAACGAAATTATCTTCTCTTGATATGTTAAAAATGACAAGTAATACTAGACAAGTAAAAGTGAATGTAGGGAGTAATTAACAACGGCTGAAATAGATGAGATTTGGATTTATTATATACTCCCTCCGGTCCACAATAAGTGACCAATTTGCTTTTTTATTTTGGTCCAAAATAAATGCCCATTTATATAATCAAGAAAGAATTTAATTTGTTTTTACAAAATTACCCTTATGTACATATCCCTAAAAAGTTTTCTTACTCCTCACATTAAATATTTAATTAAGAATAGTTTAGTCTAGGTATTTTTGTATAGAATTTAATATTTTCTTAATGGGCGTGTCAAAAGCAAATTGGTCACTTATTGTGGACCGGAGGGAGTATAAATAATTTAATCGGATGTTTTTATCAAGTTTGATACCTCGAAGTTTATTTATTGCACAATGTTCCAAAAAAGATCCAATTTTTACAATTACTAGAATTGATTAAATTTCCAATGATTAGAACATATCAAGTACTTTTATAGAGTAGAATTTAAGAAAACAAATCATTAATGCAACAAAGTTACCAGCGATACCAGCTTCAGTTTAATTTACGTTAAATGTCAATCGCTTCCCTTTTCTGTCCCATATCTCCCCTACCAAATATGTGAGTATCAAATAAATAAATAATTAATCAAATAAATAAAAGTAAAACTACATGAACTTCATAAGGCCCCTTAAACTCAACAACAAAAAAAACAACAACATTTATCGGTTATATTAACCCTCATTGACCATTTTTCTAGTCCAGCCAATATTAAAAATAAAATAAAAAGTACAGGCAGTCCTCTAGATTTTTCAATTAGAATTTTTGATAGCTAAATGAAATGCACTGCAATTAGGGGTGTTCGTAAAAATCCGAAAAATCGAATCAAACCGACCGAAAAAACTGATACTTTTTAGGTTTGATTTGGTTTTGGTTTTAAATTTTAAAAACCGATCAAATTTGATTTGATTTTGGTTTTAATCAAAAAAATAACCGGAAAAAATCGGACCAAACCGACTATAAAAATAGCTATTTAAGTTTATTATTACACCTATATATATATATATATATATATATATATATATAAAGTTTCTAAAATTTTATGGTACATATTAGTTATTTGTATTTTTTTGTCTAGTTCTTTGCTATTATAATAATCTAATTCTTTGCCTTTAAATTCTAGTTTGATTGGTAGTTTTCTCTAAGTGCAAGATTTATTTCATGTTAAAAAGATTAACTTTTAATTGACTACTTAAATTATTCATCACAATTTGATTAAATTAACATCAATAAATCTTGGTAAATGATAGATTTCTCAAAGAGCAATTAATTTGATAGTGTTACGTTGAAAACGTAATCGGCAGAATATGCGTTTGGTAGTGTTTAAGAAAAAAACCGATAAATAACCAAAAAAATCGAAAAACAGGAAAAAAACCGACAAAAACCGAATCGATAAAAAACCGACTTAATTGGTTTGGTATGGTTTCAATATTTGAAAAATCGACTTACTTGGTTTGATTTCTTTTTAGGGAAAAACCGACCTAAACCAAACCATGAACACCCTAACTGCAACTATTGCAAAAAGGAAAGTATTCAAATTTACCATTTACTACACAAAATATTTCAGTTTTAATCTTTGTTATTATTAGGGCACTTTATTACGCAAATCATCTCGTATTTGCCCTTGAGTGAAGTGAATCTCCGGTGGATTCTACGCATCAATACACTTTAGTAAAAATATTTAAAATTACTCCTGTAATTTTTATTATTGTATAAAATTACCCTTCGTTATACCCGATGTTGCAACTACATCAAAGCCAAGATTAAGACAATTTACTAACGATAAAAATATGAATAACCCTGAAATATAACATATAATAAAACAAAAATATTGCGTAAAAATAAAGCCAAGAGCAATGCAAAAAATAAAAAGGACAGTTCGGTACATAAGGCATCTCACGTTCACGCATGGTACAGAGAAGGGTCGTACCCTAAGGAATGTGATATAGACAGTCTACCCTAATGCAAACATTAATGATTGCTTCCACGACTCAAACTCGTGACCTATAGGTGTAATAGAGACAACTTTAGCGTTCCTCCCTCATCGATTAATGTGAAAAATAGAAGGAAGGAAAAAGAACATATTGTATTAACTAGAGATAGTGATTGGGCCAGAGTATCTATATAAATAGAGTGAAAAAGGAAGACCCATTTAGATCTACTCCCATCGTGCCTACCCCTCAAACCTTTACATCACCCACACACCCAACAGACGAAAAATACTTTTGTGTGTGTAATTTACAGAGAGAGTTTTCAGGCATGAGAATAAGAAAGCATGCCAAAATTTCCCCGCTCCTCTATTCTTCTTCATTTCTCAAACAACAAGTTCCCGTTCACGTTTGCCAGCTGAATCAGTCTCCCTGGGATGTCATCACATTCCCCTTAGAACAAGATGAAGAAAACGATAACCCAGAAATAAACCAGTTTCTACT